CAAGAAATAAGCGCAACGCTAAGGCCCGGCGAAGAGATGCCGAAACTGAAGAAGCGTGTCGGCACATCATTCTCGATTCCAGAGGAAATCTTGAAAAGCGATAAGGTGAGTGGTTCTTATTCATCAAAGCGTTCACTACAATGTTTATGAAAAAAGTATAGGGCCGGTGATTGAAGGAGTAGCTTTTTCGTTTTCCTTATAAGTTCCAAACATTCGGCTGAATATTAAATGTTGGTAGAGAGCCATGAGAACAGCAGCCACATGTGCTTGCATTATGTTAACTTTATCTGAAATGTATTGAACGTTAGTACCGGGACTTTCAACAGAAGTAAACAGCTAAGTACTTACGATTAATGATGGCTGCAACGATGATCTGTAGGTTGATAGCGGCGCAGATAGCTGATACGGTCAAACCACAAAGTTGCCCGAAGGTTAAGTTCCCAGCCATCGACGTAAGCACGATACCGACGATGTAAGCGCTACCGACAGAAACCGCAACGAACTTTATACGGTCCTTGGCAAAATGGGGTCCGACCACCTGGAATGGAGTTTATAAGTTCCCTCCACTGCCTAGAACGATGCCTTCACTATACAATATAGCTTTTGAATCGCAAAATGATATCAAATGGGGTAATGAATAGTGTAGGAAGGCTGACCTGAACATGTAGGCCAATCAGCCCAGGTAGAAAATATGCGGGAGCTCTTTTGTCCGCGGGAATTACATAGTGCTGATTCATAGCGCTTCCCAACACTCCCAAAAGGGCAGAGACTCCAATTAATGTAATTCTTCTTTCGTCTAGGTTAATGCCTTTCTGAAAAAATATAGGCCTAAGGGGACTTGTCGTTGATGTCTCAAAGGCAGCTTTCTTCCCATGATAATTCTAAAGGCCTCTATGTTCTATCATTTGCTATCATCTCTTATCATCCTATATCAGCGCTTCATAACCTACATCTGCAGTCCCTACAACATTGCATTCAAAACTGGTCCTGATTAGGTGTGAGTCCTTCACCATTCAGTTGTTTTCCTTGCTTATCGATCCTTATCACTAACAGTTACTCCTTTCCAACCAAAATGGGTTTCCCTTCAAAGATTCGAGTTTGGGTCAACATGCGCCGTCGCGATCGCCTTGTTGAAATCAGACCGCAGCGTACGTGGCAGCATCGGCTGTTCGCCCTTTGGTCGCCTCTTCAACAGGTTGGGGATGAAGGGGGTCTCGGCAAAATCGACTATAGTCGCCGCGCATGCGGCAACCTAATTCCGCACGCGGTGGCGCATTCTGACCTATTGGCCTATTCTGACCTATTCTGACCTATTTACAGTTCAGACTCCCTGGTGCCAACTAGCGGAAACCTAAAGAATTCTATGACTTTCTTTATCTCATTTATTATCAACCCTTATCAGCAGGAATCGCATTCTG